ATATTTTGTATATGAAAAATGCTTTTATGTATTTAATTGATTCAATGAAGAAACTTTTTGATGGATTAAATTTTAAGCATTCACGTATTCAGGCTAGTCTTCAGTAAAAAATGCATTTAGGGAAGTCTGTTTGCAACCCTTGATTTAAATGCATTACTATTTAATAAGCACCTTCGCATCTTCTATCCGACGAGAATTAAATTTTATTTCTATACCTTCCGTTAATCCGAAAATTCATACGCGCTGTGACCTGGCCGTTTTATTTCATCCCCGTACGCCCTCCGCTCAGCGTGAAAACCGGATAACAATATTAAAGAATTTAATTTTCCCGACGAGAATAAATAAATTCGACGATTAATTAAATTCAAATCAAATGAGTATCAATAATTCGAGCATCTACAACAATTTAATACGCAAATTAATTCAATACCTTCTTTAAATAAAGGCAAAGATCATTTCCGAGGTCTCGAAGTGATCTGCAACTTCCTTTTATATTTGATTTTCACGTCGAACGAAGCACATCTCCTCAAACTGCTTCAACCAGATTAAAATCAATATCAATACCTTATATCACGCTACACAACAGATTTACGTGTATGGAATCACAAACGTTAATCGTTTATCACTGCCACAACTTGATCAAATATTCAAACGTAGATAATATAACAAATGAGAAACAGATTAAAAACACCTTGATCATAAATCTAATAAAAGCTCTCGGTGACGACTAATAAAGCCGTCGTTTCACTTTTAATTCACCGAAACTCTTCGCACAGGCTCCGAAGAACAACTGTTTAACGTACCCTCTTGCAAATCACTGAGGAGTAAACTTTTCCTATCCCGAACTACCATCTTTACGTGTACACGTCTGAGAACGCGGCAGTCACTAGGTCGTTAATAATTCGGTCCAATTATAATGGACATTAGAGCTACCGGGCAGCGCGGCCTATAATGCACACGGAACCTCGGCAAGGTCGTGAGGAAAGCGGCTTCAGTCGAAAGTTCACGGTATTGCGTGCGAATTCTATAGACCGGCGAGATAATGCGGCTTCGGCTGGACGTTCATCGTCCACGCCGAGTTTATTGCCGAGGACAAGGACACTTGGTTCGCGCGATTGCATTTGTCAATACGCTAATCTTCACGCATTGTTGTGGTTCCGCGGTCTCCGCGCTCGCGCCCGTCTGTAATGCGCATACGTACCTCTACAGGGTGTCCGTCAAGTCCGTGTCTATTTTCAGAACGTAAACTGTTTACATTCAGAAACGAAACACTCGATGGTAGAATAATAGTCATAGCTCTCCATGACTAATCCACAAGAAAAGTAGAATCTAATGTTTATCTTCAATTCAATTCGAGCTCGTAGAAACGAATGGAATCCAATTCTACAATAAAGATAATTAAAAGTATACAAAATGTGGCACTAAGAAAATCCTAGAAAATACAGACCAAAGTTCTTCATTTGACTTGATCTTCTAGAGGCCATAATTCTATAGTAACACTGAGTTCTATATTCTTCTACCAACGATCCGAGACAATCGAGACTTAATACGCCAACGTGAAATCTAGGTCGTACAGGTCCGAACAGTTCCTTCAAGTTTAGAAAAATGATGCCGCATATTTCACGGACACCCCGTACGAACGGACCACGAGACATGTCCCGCATACAGATATATGCCGGCGTACTGTGTTATGTATTAAAGCGTATCGCGAGCACGCGAGCCAGCTTGTCGCGCTTATTCTGTTTATGTCTTGCGGTATTCGGGCTAACGACGAGTTTGTTGTCCGCTGCGAGTTCTCCCGGTTAATCACGCCCGTGCTGCGCCGCCGCGCGCCCGCCCCGCAAAAATCCCTCCGGACGTATTGGATATTGGCACGAGACGGTCGTTCCGCGGCCCCGCGATACCCGGCCGAATGAAAAACGAACCTGAAAATCTCTCCGGTGGATACTACTCGGCCAAGACGGGTGATCGATACTAGCCTTTATGGGGCCTTTCATGGGACTTGTAAATGCGAGGCTTACAGGGCGGTTCGAGGGGAAAGGTCGATGTACCCGTAGTATCCACCAGCGTAACACTACCCAAATTTCTTGTACCGCAGACCATCTATATCTCTTATAATAACACATTATATGCCGCATATTATTTCTCTTTCTCCATTGAATTACCATATTTTAATTTTTAGTGACAAGTGTGAAAAATATAATTTATACAGTTCAATAACAGTTGAATCTAGAAGAATTGAATTATTCTGATCTTCTAGTATGTAAGCTATCTTGGTATCGTGACATATTAATCAAAAATTTAACACCTAGACTGTCTGAAAGAAGTTCCTTGCCCCTTTTCATAAAATTTGACTCGATGCAACTATGTAAACATATTGGGCTCGTTGCATCTTTTCGTAAACAAAGATAAGCACGTATGTACCAAAACGTAAAACAGAAAAGTTTTTTGTCTAAATCCAATCGCAGCTTTGTATAGACTGTTTTAAAATTTTACATTTGAAATAGCTTTCTAAGTAAACCATATTTTTATATTATTTTTATGATAATTAAGCAAAGACATATTATGTCCTGTGAAATATCCTTCTAAATGCCTACTAAGATCTTTCGTAAGTAGTCAATATAAGTGTCCAAGCGTTAAAATGACAGGTACAAATTATTTCGTATTCGAAACGTAAGAATAAAATATCTTGAAGTTTCAAATGATTCAAACGAACAATTGGATTTACCTAAATCTTGCTATGTACGTTTGAAATATTATATTATCTAAATTATATAGAAACTGGTACATTCAATAGAATTTAAAATATCATTTTCCTTAAATCATATCCAGTTCTGTTAGAAACGTCCGACAAGAGACGGGATGAATGGTTCTAGGGTGGAGTCAGAAGAATACGGCAGGTAACCCATCACTCCCTATTGACCGTTTTCGCTTTTCCCTCCCCGAACACCATCCACTCTGCTTCGTCACATAATACTTTTTTCCGCCGCGGGAGATCCACCGATTTTCCTCCCCTGCTTCTTCTCCCCTTACGTTGTTCGCCCCGACTAAGTTCACGCATTATCATGTTTGCTATCACGTCCCGCACCCACAGCCACTCCGACAGACCCAAAACGTAGTTTTCTCTCTCGTAGAGACCACTATAGGGGTGGCATGGGGTTACCAAGCGAACTTGAGACCTTACGGGAGGAGTTGAAACCAATGGCAGCGACCACCGAGCCAATGGCACCGGGTCACGTAAAGTCGAAAAAGCATTGGACCAAGCAGTTTTCGTGGAACCTTCCTCTCGACGCTGTTGTCAGGTAGATCAAGTATCTGTCGAGCGAAAATCGATGATGTAAAATGCACTACCAAGGACCTTTCACCGTAACTTTAAGCGACCTTGTACTATGCAACGCTTTGAAAAAAATATGACGTTCCATTGGGACAAAAAAAGACGTACAATTCATAGTTGTTCCATAGAAAGAGATTCTCCGCCGGTTTCTCCGCAGTTATTTCTTAGAGAGGATTACTCATGGAACTAGGAAGTGTATCGGTGATCGAGAACACGTAATCACCGTTGATTAGTCAAGACGAATATTTCTGTACACGCGCGAAGTGCAACGGCGCAATTGTTTCTTCGCCACAATGAAGAAAGTAGTTCTAGTTCAACGAAATTCACATGGTGGATTAAGTGAGTATTTAGACACCGTTTCAAGGTATATTTTCCTGCACTGTGGGGCAGTGTAGTCTCTTCTAGAGATATTTGACTTCTTTTATTAAATCGAGAGGTTACCTTCGATTTGTAACTTTATCTGTAAACCCATTTACGTGGAAGACATATGTCTTATATTAAAGAAAATTTTAAAATATTCACTTATGTCAAGCTTTCTAGTTGGCTCCATAGGTACTAGCAAATACAGTTTAGATATAGATAAACAAAGAAGTTCTTTTTAATTACACATATACAATGTTTTTAATCTTCACATTAGAGACCTCGTATAAAATGTTTCAGTGATTTTAGTTTTGCGAAGCTACAGAATATATGGTTCATAAAAGGTTCAGTAACCTTAGAAAAACTGAGCCTCCAGACTAAGCACCTTATCTGCGCACATAACTATTTATTTCTAATGTTTCCTTTGAAAAATAAGTTCTTTAAGCAAACTATTTTGAAATCCAATACCAATTTTGAAAGTACGAATTTCAAGAAACAATTCTTTCTTAAATATTCTAGATAAAAAGTGTGATGTACTTTTATTATTGTATAGTTGGTGAGCTTGAGAAGCCGTCATCCCCTAATGTTTCCAGGGCTTCTCAGGGCTGTAGGTATTAAGGTTATTGTAGACGCTGAACTCTCTTACATTTGATTCCTCGCCTCGCCCCAGTATAGGGACAAACAGAATCAACCCCAAAACGATCCTATCGACCCCTGCGTATCTCGAAACGTATA